CTAATCACACATGTGCATTTCTCCATTAAGTGCCCAGTTGTAAGGTGACCTTGGGTTTTAGAAAGGCGCCCACAAATAAAATGCATTATTATTGTTATTATTATTATTATTATTATAGTTCAGCACATTTTGGTTGAATGTAACATAACAGATTATTGCTTATTATTGTGTGTGACCTTAATCATTTACTATTGTTAACAAAGACTGGTCATGCAGCGTCTGAAAAGACATAATTACCTTCAACTAGAAGATCCACCAAACAGAATTTCTCCTCGGTTGGTGGGGGAGCGAGTTTTGTCACAGAGCAGTTGTAGACACCAGAGTCACTGAAGTTGACATTCGTTAAGTAAAGTTGCAGAGGTCGTCCTTCGATCACATAACGGGATCCACAGTTGCTGTCAATCATGGTATTGTTTGACACACGGTAATAACAGATGACTGTAGAGGTTCCATTCTTCCTCCAGTTGAAAGTATATGTTTTATTAAGACTGTCCTCAGATACATAGCAGTGGAGAGGGATCTTCTGTCCTTTGTTTGCTTTGATGGTGATGATGCCCTCAGCATCTGTGTGAATAAAGAGAATCACAGCTGTTTGAAATACGATCATGGCAGGTTGAGGGACTATCCGCTGATGTAGCGCATCGCCACACCCACCACATAGCGAAACTAATCAACTAATATTTATGTCTATTGCGTAGCTTTATATATGTATCTTGGTGATAGGACAGTAATCCAATGAGCACCTGTTTTTTGTTCTTTACACTGAAATGTGTATTTGAGGGCAGGTCCAGAGAGGAGTGATTGACCCAGCAGGAACAGAGCACATCCTCAGCATGCGCTGCTGTCAGAGACAAGGAGTTGAGGGTGTAGGAGCCGTCTGGGTTTACTGAGCTGCGTCTGTCAGGGGTCACGTTCAGTGGGAGTCCATCCCGGAGCCAAACCTGCTCTATGCTCTCTGGGTAAAAGTCCTGAACGGAGCAGAGCAGCGCCGAGTCCCCGCTGGGCCCCTCCACCCAGGACACGGACACCGTGGGACGAGCTGCACCCACAGAACAGAGGGACAGTGTGACGGGCGTGAGAGGGAGTCTGTGGATTTTATAACCAATATGTCACTCACAGTATATCTCAGTATTAATATGAGAGATACCCACAGAACAGAGGGACANCAATATGTCACTCACAGTATATCTCAGTATTAATATGAGAGATACCCACAGAACAGAGGGAGAGTGTGATGCAAACACAGCTGAAGCTTTCTTCACATGTGTGTCTCTCACTTCACACGCTAATCACACGTGCATTTCTCCATTGTCTGGTTCAGCATATTTTGATTGTACATGACATAATACACAATCATTGACTATTGTTGACAAATACTGATCTTGCAGCACCTGAAAAGACATAATTACCTACAACTAGAAGATCCACCAAACAGAATTTCTCCTCGGCTGGTGGGGGAATGACTATTGTCACAGGGCAGTTTTAGACACCAGAGTCACTGAAGCTGACATTCGTTAAGTAAAGTCATGGAGGTCGTCCTTTGATCACATAACGGGATCCACAGTTCCTTTCACTTATGGTATTGTTTGACACACGGTGATAACAGAGGACCGGAGACGTTCCATTCTTCCTCAAGTTGACAGTATGTTTTATTAAGACTGTTGTTAAGAATAGAATAGAATAGAATAGAATAGAATAGCCACTTTTATTGTCATTCAGAAAATACACCGGTTAGTGCACAAGAGAACAAAATTTCGTTGCATTTTTTTTATGCTCACCATCGGCCTGGCAGTGTGTAAAAAAAAAAAAAAATATATATATATATATATATATATATAAAAATAGAAATGGAATATGAATGGAACTAACATAGATATATTAACTGCAGTATAGCAGTAAAAGAAAAAAACAGTGTACCTCACCATATCAGTTTAGTGCAAGACATATAGTGCATAAAGTTCTTGAAAAAGTGACATGTGCATGGATGGAGAGAGGGGGAGTGTGGGGAGGGGGGATTGGGGAGGGGCTGTCATGAGTTAAGAGTTCAGGAGTCTAATGGCGTTTGAGTGCAATGTCCTGGATGGATGGAAGAGAAGTCCTGATGATCCTCTCTGCAGTCCTCACCACTCTCTGCAGCGATTTTCTGTCTGAGGATTTTGAGCTGCTAAACCAGATGGAGATACAGCTGGTCAGCACGCTCTCTATGGTGCCTCGGTAGAAAGTCCTGAGGATGGTGAGAGGAAAGGTGTGCTCTCTTCATCCTGAGCAGGAAATGCAACCTCTGCTGTGCCCGTTTTACCAGTGAAGTTGTGTTTGGTGACCAGTCCAGGTTTCCAGTTATCTGCACCCCCAGGAATCTGATGCTGCTGACCACCTCTACGGCATTGTTGTCGATGACGAGTGGTGAATGACTGGGCTGTTTTCTCCTGAAGTCGATGATCATCTCCTTGGTCTTCTCCACATTCAGGATCGGGTTGTTATCCCTGCACCATCCCACCAGTCGCTTCACCTCCTCTCTACAGGGCAGGTCGCTGTCGTTCCTAATGAGACCCACCACTGTTGTGTCATCCGCATATTTTATGATGTGATTCAAGGCAGATGCAGCACAGCAGTTGTGAGTCAGCAACATGAACAGCAAAGGACTGAGGACACAGCCTGGAGGGGAACCGATGGAGAGAGAGATGGAGCTGGAGATGTTGTTACCCACTCTCACTGACTGTGGCCTGGCAGTGAGGAAGTCCAGCAGCCAGTTACACATGGGTGTGCTGATACCCAGGGGCCCCAGTTTGCTCACCAGCTGCTGGGGGATGATCGTATTGAACGCTGAACTAAAATCAACAAACAGCATTCGTACATGTGTGTTCTTGTCCTCCAAATGTCCTAGGCTTAGGTGAAGAGCAGAGGAAATGGCACCTTCTCTGGAGCGGTTTGGCCGGTAAGCAAACTGAAATGGGTCAAATATAGGGGGCAGCGTAGAGATGATGTGTCTTTTACCAGCCTCTCGAAGCACTTCATCATTATGGGAGTAAGTGCAACAGGATGGTAGTCATTAAGACACGTGATGGTGGAATGATAGTAGCAGACTTGAAGCATGATGGAACAACAGCCTGCACCAGTGAGGTATTGAAGATGTCCGTAAGGACTTGTGCCAGCTGGTCAGCACACTCCCTGAGTACTCGTCCTGCAATATTGTCGGGGCCTGCTGCCTTCCATGTGTTCACCTTCTTCAAGGTTTTCCGGACATCAGCCATGTTGAGACTCAGTGCTTTTTCATCCGGGTGAGGATTTGCTTACATACGTTGCAGTGGAGAGGGATCTTCTGCCTTTGTTTGCTTTGATGGTGATGATGAAAGTTCAAAACAATCAAAACTAATAAAAAATAAAAGGTCAATAGCAGCAGACATGATGTATGCCCAAGTCAAAGAGGCATCCAGTTCCACTGTCCATCCACTCCTCAGAAGATCAGACCTCAACCTAGTGTACCTCCAACCACAATGCAAGTCAGTGCTGCAGAGGCAACCAATTAGTATAAAGACACTGTCTCTGCAGTGCATCTCTGCAAG